GCGCTTCCATCCAACAAGTCAAAAAGAACAAAATCACCTCTTCCTGATGAACTGGTGCCAAATATCCACAGTAAATAAAATATGAACAGTTCTCTCTTCATTTCTCTCTAAGCCGATGTTTCCTGAGGTCAGGTAAGTCATTAAAGGTTGTTTGATTGTTGCTGTGTGTGTACGATTTCACTGCAAAGCAACACAGATTTGGTGAAAAGCCGTGACCAAATCAGTCATTTTAGCCCACAAAACCCTGAAAAACCAGCCACGAAATCCTTCATAAATCAAGCCGAGCCTGAGATTCTGCAGGAGAAATCCTGTTGATTCTGTATTATAACTGTGTAACAGGAATGCATTCAGACAATGAGAAGTCAGAGTTGGCGGATTGAGCAGGAAAAGAAGCGGTGAGCAACCCGATCGGAGAGACAGCGCTACAGATGAAATCATGGGATTTGTGATGGTGAACACAGATCTTTCTTCATCAGTGGCCAGCGTGAGCTCACTGTCCTCAAAGACAAATCCCTTTCATCCACTTACGCTTGGAAATAATGATTTTACTCTGCAGGGAGCTTCGCCAGGTCCAGTTGTGGATTAAACAGTTGTGATATAAATATATATTGATGCATCTGGTGCTTTTATCCAATGCAACTACTGAATTCAGAGCGCACATATTTCCCTCTTTCTTGTCATTTTGGGTTTGTGTGAAGTGAATCTTTTCAAAGTTTGCAAATAAAGAAAAAATATTATCCATGGCATCAAAACAGAATATTCCCAAATGTCCAGATAAATATTATTATTAAAACCTATAATAGTGAGTAATTGGTAAAATACAGAATGTCTTCATTTTAAACAAAGGTTGCAAGAATTGTCTTGTTGGTTGGCTTTAGAAAAATTACATATATGTTTAAGAGAAAACCTGAAAATAGTGTCAAAATATGCAATTCCTTTATAGGATTTCTAAAGGAAGCTGGTACAAATATTTTGTCTTTAAATTGTATGTGTCTCTACATGCATGCTTTTATTTATTTCTTTTCTTTAGTATTTTTTAAAAGTTCCCAAAATCAATAAAAACAGTGTTTACGCAAAAAACAAACTCCTCCCACAAAACTTTATTTTGTATTTGAAGCCTTTTCTAAGATGTCTGTGATTATGAGTGTGAGATCCATCGTTTCACACTGACACTGATTTGCAAATGTTACAGTTCAAACACACACTGAAGCTCCAAAGCGAAAAACCATGCATGAAGAGGCTTGGGGGGTGAAAACATTTGCAATTGGCAGATTGGGGTCATGTTAATTTATTTTGCTTTGTTTTCTTGGAAACATGTTCGTATCTTCTGTAGCTTCTGAAAGGTAGTGCTAAATAATACTAATACGATTTTAAAAATGTACTCTTCTGCATTCAATAAAAGCTTTCCCACCTCGGCTATCCTAATGTGACGCAAGAATTTTCAAAGTGTGCAATAATAAAAAAAAGAGGAAAAAAAACAAGCAACTGTGAATTAGATGCATTTCCGTAATGTTGGTAGAGTGGCAGTCTGTAGGATTGGTAAGCTAGCAACCAACAGTAAACAAGCCAAGCATAATGGAGTCACGCGAGTAATATTCAAACCCACCTTCATGTCTAAAACCACCATAAACAAACTTTAAATATTTTTACTCAAAATTTGGAATTTCTCTCACTGGTTTCTGGTGCAATATTTTAAAATGCGCATTAAAACAAGCTGATGGAAAAACAGCTCATGGAACTCTCGCCTTAAGCTGTATATATGTACAGTTGAAGGCAAAACTATTCACCCCCAATGAATTGATTATTTTTCAAATATTTCCAAAGTGATGTGTAATAAAGCAAAATAATTTATTCTGGTATTTTCTAAAATTTGTTTTCTTCTGGACAAAGTCTTTTTTAAATTTTTTTTTTTTACAGTTTTTAGATTGAAAAATAGTAAGGTCAATATTATTACCCCCTCTTAAAAAATTGTGTTTTCTATTGGCTACAGAACAAACCACTGCTTTACAATGATTTCCTAATTACCCTAGTTAACCTAGTTAAGCCTTTAAATTGCACTTAATGCTGAATACTCGTATCATACAAAATAACAAAACATTTTATTTACTGTCATCAAGGCAACGACAACAGAAATCAGCTATTACAAATGAGTGATTAAACTATTATGTTGAAAAACTCTTCTCCGATAAACAACACTGGGTAATATTTTAAAAAGTTTTACAATTTCACAGGAAGGCTAATAACTTTGACTTGATTTAATTGTGACAGTGATTTGGGAGAGGCAGGTATACCACAGCACATTATCCTGTGTAATTTGTAAGTCTTTGTAATGTACAGAATGATGGTAGTGTTTCTACAGGATGCCTGCTGGCTCTTGAACTTTACAAACATTCCTCGGCTCACCTTCACATGGTTTCCGCTGTTGCGCTGGCTTTCAGACGGCACTTCTGAAGCATTAACACTCTTTACAAGCACAGTTCCCGCTCTCTCGCCTGCTGTTCTGGAGGAAAAAAAACACAACACAGAGACACAAAATCACAAACCTTCACACTGATCCAGGTGTTCTCCTGACAGCGGGGAAATCTGCTACCTGTTTCATGCAGTTCTGAAAGATTGAGTTATCTTTAATAGTAGTGTTTTATGATGGGGGGTGAAAACTTTTGCAATTGGAAGATCGGGGTCAATTTTACTATCTTAGGGGTATATTCTTTTTAGTATTGCTATTCAGAAGCTGCAGAATGTACGAGCATGTTTCCCAGAGCACAAACATTAAATAGACCCTGATCTTTCAAATGCAAAAGTATTCACCCCATTTCTTAATGCCTGTTTTCCCCATCTGGAGCTTTAGTGCGTGTTTGAAGTTTACCAGTGGTGTTTTATGATTAGGGGGTGAAAACTTTTGCAATTAAAAGATCATGGTCCATTTCATTGTCTTAGGGGGTGTGTTCTTTTTAGTGTTACTATTCAGAAGCTGCAGAAGATGTTTGCATGTTTCCCAGAAAAAAATAAACAAATTCAATTGATCCTGATTTTCCAATTGCAAAAGTATGTTTAATGCTTGCTTTTCTTCTTCTTCTGGAGCTTTAGTGAGTGTTTGAACTGTAAATATAGCATTTTGTATTTAGGGGGTCGAAAATTTTTGCAATTGGAAGATTGGGTGAGTTTGACTACATTAAGGGGTATCTTCTTTTTAGTATTACTATTCAGAAGCTACAGAAGATTCTGGGTAACATGTAATTATCTTAGGTGATAATTAAAACGTAGGGGCTCTGTTTTTTAGTGTTGCTACTCAGAAACTGCAAAAGACACTTGCATGTTTCCTAGAAAAATAAATAAATTAAATTGACCCAGATCTTCCAATTGCAAAAGTATTCACCCCCCCAAATCTTAATGCTTGATTTTTCCTTCTGGAACTTTAGTGAGTGTTTGAACTGAAATATTTGCATATCAATGTGAAAAGATGGATCTCACAGTGATAAAGACATTCTGGAAAGTGTTGAAATAAACAAAAAAATGCTGAAAATTTGAAGATTTTGTGGGGCGTGAAGGGAAAGAACAGCTGCAGTTGAAGTGTTTCTAACATACAAGAGAATCAATGAACAGCTATTACTAAATAATAATAGTAATAAAAAAGCTGTGCATCAATCAGTCCTCATAAACCACATACACAAGTACTAAAACTGGACCTAATAAAAAAACTGAAGACCACAGTCCGAAATTTAAACACCCAAATTAATATGTTGTGGGGGGAAAAAAAATCTCTTACTATTCCTAAAGACTTTACGTGAACAAACTCTTATTTTAATGGATATACTGTAACTGTTTAATTAAAATGCACCAAAATATATTACCTATATTCACTGAGAAATGGAAAACAATTATGCTGAGCACTCTATGTGTGTGTGTGTGTGTGTAATGTGATGTGCAGCCCATAAGACTGTGGTCAGGCTCTGCTATGTTGGGGAATTCCAGTTGTCGCTGCTCTGTAAGTGCGTCTCTTCATCTGCTGCTGTAAACATGGCCGCTCGCCGCTCTGAATTGTGTGTCTGTCGCAGTGAGTCTGATGTGGGTTATTAGTCTGTCATGCCACAGGAATCCTGCCCAACGCTGCCACCCTGAAGCCTCAAAATGCACTGCAAAAAATGCTTTGTCTTGTTTCTAGTGCAAATATCTTCAAATTCTGAAATCAAGAAGCATTTTCTAGACAAGCAAAATATATTGTGCTGTTTTCAGAAATAATAAGTCAAAATAAAATGAGTTTTTCCTTAAAACAAGCAGAATAATCTGCCAATGTGTGAGTAAAATAATCTTGTTTTTGCTTTGAAATAACATTATTTTACTTGCCTCCTACTATTGGCAGATTATTTTGCTTGTTTTAAGGAAAAACTCACTCAAATTTGACACATTTCTGAAAACAAGACAATATATTCTACTTAAAATGCTTCTGGATTTTAGAGTCGTTAAGATATTTGGACTAGAAACAAGACAAAATCTCGATCCTCCTTTATATTAGGTGGCCTTTACTAATATGTGCTTGAACAAAAATGAATACAATGTACTTACTGTGTTCATAATGCATTGCTGAACACTGCTCAGGTGGAGTTTAGGGCCATGTTTGGTGGTGTGGGTATGTTTAAAGTGGTGTAATTATCAGTGTAATTAATGTTTAATAATTAATTCAATTACAAATTTAAATTAATTACAGATTAACCTCCTCAATTGTAAGCCGCTTTGGACAAAAGCATCTGCTAAATCAAGGGTTTTCAAACTTTTCAGCCCGCGACCCCCAAAATAACAATATCTGTGACTCGCGACCCCCATTTTTCAAGGTATATAAACTTTGCAGACACAACTGTAGGCATATATAAACATGAGCATATCGACAACACAAAAGTGCAACAGTCTGTTAACCATATAATCTTTTTAAAGTCATTTATTAATTTAATTACATTTCAATATAAAATTAAAGGCTGATGGCTGATTTTTATTTGTATGTTGTTGTTTTTTAACTCAGCTATTAACTATTTTCTGTGGGTTATGAATAAAATATGCTAATTCAAATAGTTTAATCAAATTTATTTGAGTTTTGGAAATCACCAAGCGAACCCTTGTCATTGTCCTGCAACCCCCCACTTTGAGAACCACTGTGCTAAATGACTAACTATGACTGTAAATGCAGATGTAATGACAGGCAGGTATTTAATCAATCATAAGGACAATGTAAAACAACTTCTTGTAAAACAAAAGTTTTATAGGCGGCACAGTGGCTCAGCGGTTAGCACTGTCGCCTCACAGCAAGAAGAACGCTGGTTTAAGTCCAAGAAGGCTTTCTGTGAGGAGTTTGCATGTTCTCCCCGTGTTGGCGTGGGTTTCCTCTGGGTGCTCCAGTTTCCCTCACAGTCCAAACACATTCGCTATAGGGGAACTGATCAACTAATTTGGCTGTAGTGTATGAGTGTGTGTGTGAATGTGTATGTATGGGTGTTTCCCAGTATAAACATAAGCCGGAATACTTGGCGGTTCATTCTGCTGGGGTCACCCCTCATAAATAAGGGACTAAACCAAAGGAAAATGAATGAATGAAAGAAATTCAGTTTTACACCTTGTCTTAACAACATGGTACATGAAAAGTTTCCAGCAATAAGCAGTTTGTCTGTCTGCAGCAGGGCTTAATTTGTGCCGGATCCAGCACCTCTGAAGTCTGATCTGGCACCTCATTTTACCGATCACCCTCCTCAACAGCCCTCCTCCCGTCCACTGTTCACTTTCTTCCGCGACTCCCCAACCCTCTTCACTTTCATTTGCGACACAACCAATCTCCAACCCCCGGCCCTCCACATTCATGCGCGACACCTCTACATACTCGGTCACATGCCAGATTTGTTACCCCAATCTGTTCAGGGACCTCGCAATTCACAAAATAAGCACTGGTCTACATGAAACGCGACACGACAGAAACATTTCAATAGTGATGAGATGGTATGAGATGAAACGGTAAAGGCTTTTAATTTAATTAATACATTTTAAACCTCTTCAACATTAAGAATAGGCTATTAGTGACTGATGTTGTTGCGTTGAGTCTCATCATCAGACCATCTGCTACCTATTTTATGGTCTAGATCTGAGGTGAATGTCACGCAAAACTGTGCTTAAACTCACATTGGCAGTGTTCAACACTGAATAAAGCACATCATCAGTACCTGAGGTGATCATTGTTGTAGTAGTTAATGCTGTTGTTCTGCTGCGACGTCGCAGAAATAGAAGCAGTATCTAAAATAGACATTTCACACATCGCTGTCGAAGATGAGTAGGACAAAAACGGAAAAAAAAGATAGCTTTTACAGCATGTCGCAAAGCCGTATGGTGTGTAGTTGAGTTATAGTGTTAGCACATGTTAGTTGAGGCCACTTAATATAAAGCGGGAGCACAGACTCTTAGTAAGAAAAGCTTTTTTCAGTCCTCAGCTACAGCGCAGCGGGCTGACACTGAGCGGTGACTCAAACACATTCCTGTTTTCAGCTCCTCTGAGTAAATCTGCCTTTACCGAAAACACACTGGAGACCACACAGAGAGACCCGCGCTTTCTGAAGCTCCACAGACGACTGCATCTTCAATTCTGTGTGTGAAAACTGTTTTTTTTTTTACGTCTGAATCTTTACGGTAAAAATTATCCATAAATTAGCAGGTTTCTGCATTTTGGGGTTTATGTTTGTATGCTTTCCAATTGCGTTATAGGATCTTGATCCTTCTTCCAACAACTTAAACCCTGGAAAACTGTGTAAACAGTGACTTTTATTGACATGTGTAATAGTCTGCAGTGCTGTCTTGTCTGGGTTGCTGTTGTATATTACACTATATGTTAGAGCCATAAAGAGTCACTAAAGATTATTAAAGAAAAAATATTATTATAAAATTATATTATTATTATTATTAAAGAAATTGTAATATTTTTCTATAATACTATATTATTTGGATTGAGATATGTAGTTATTGCATTGAATTTGTATATTTTGTGATATTATATTATGTACATGACATTTCATTTGATAAATAATGCCATACGTCATATGTATGCGTAAGCAACAGGAAAAAAAGATTAGAAAGAATGAAGGGGCTTGATGGTAGACATTCTTTTCACCGTTCTTTCAAACTATATTTATATTGAAGTTTGGAAAAGTTTAAATAGTTATTCCAGTGGTTCTCAAACTGTGGTACTTGTAACACTAGTGGTACACGGATTTCCTTCTAGTGGTACACGGAGGAATGAAATGTCATGTACATGTTACATATATTTCAAAATGTATTAAAAATTATGTATATAATATGCCATATATGACATATAGCCTATATTTCTGAGGTAATCTGCCATGTTTTTTTTAACTGTGCAGAGTTGTAACTGCTTTACTAGGCCTACTACACTACTGTATTTCAATACTGCTCATTTTGGTGGTACTTGGAGAGACAATTTTTTTCTGAGGTGGTACTTGATAAAACAAGTTT